GTAATGGCTCATACTGTTTTATAATTTTTTTTGGTGAGAAATAGCACTCAACCCTTTGCTTCACTGTTTCCCATACTACCTCTGGGATCATCTAATACACAAAGAATTGATTATACCTGTGAAAGATTTTACTTAAAGGTTTTGAAATGGGAATGTCCTCCATTAATCTGTATAATTTGAGATGGTAGGACCCTCTTTAAGCTGCTTGGTGTCTGTGCACACTTTTAACACCATCATTCATGAGCAGAGGTAGTGGGGTTTTCTGAGTTCTAAACCAGTCTGCCCTACAGAATGAGTTCCACAACTACACAGAAAAATCCTGTCTTGAAATTACCAAAAAATAAATCTGAATCAAACAAAGACTATGACCCAACTTTAATCAGCATCTTACATTCTGGTTGCAGCAGTCACATATAGGTATTTTGAAGAAAAGTCTCTTTTTTGCCTCTGTGCTCTAGCTCTGGCTACCAAGCTCATTCCTTTACCAGCATTGGAGCCTACTTCATTGTAATTTTGGTGAACACTTAAAACCAGCTGAGACGTCAAGCATTGTGGGCTGAACAACTACTGGATTCTTCACTTGATCTTAGACAAAGGGCTGAGAAGCAATCTATTGGATTCTTCAATTGCCATTGGTAAGCAGCTGTTCTTAAGTTACCTGGACCACAGTTTGTAAGACATTCTAATAAGCTCGCTTTTTTACATATTTGTGAGAACCTTTTTTCGGTTCTGTTCATGTAGAGAATCTTGAATACTGCAGTTGTATATTTTATTCATCTGACCACAGAGGAAGATATGCTGGCTAACTATAGTGCTCATGAAGACATTCTTCTTAGCTCCATTATTCTCTACTTATTCAAATTTCCATGAACACTATTCTTTTTATTATTATTCCTTTGCCTGGAGTTTGCTTCGAATTTAAGAAATAAAACCCATAAACAATGGAGTCATCATCCAGCTTTCTGGTGGGGGAGACTAATCATCTTTATTGAGATCTGGTTCCTGCTTTTCTCTTTCCTGTTGTGGAAAATCCCTGTGAAAACCATGTAAAAAGTACCTTCAGTTCGTCTGACCTCAGAATGAAGCCACAGAACAAATATTTCATTTTGTAACTTTAAAACTCTTTTTAACTGTTTGTATAATATCAGATGGTCTCTAAGTATTCGATAGGTTTGTTCCGAAGTTCTTGTTTGGAATTCCGGCCAAAATGTTGTAAGCTGGTGCACCATATCCACAGCTTGTACCAATAAATCGGTCTCATAATAGTGCTATCAGCATCATGCTGTCATATCAACCATTGTGGGGAGACAATGTGAGAGACATTGTGGGGACCAAATGTCTTTTTCTTAGAAGCTGATCATTGATGAAAATAACATCTGCAGTGGAATCATTATTCTGTTGTATACTCTGAAGATTTGTCACTCCATTTACTTTAATAAAGAAATGACTGGCCAGGAAATAGGGATAAGGTACAGGGAGCATGACATGAATGTGCCTTGTTAATAAAGGTTCTAGTCTGTGGTAGATAGTAAGTAAAGAATGTGTTAACTTAAAAATGTTGGAGGTAGTAAGTAATAAGCCTGATATATTGGTCAAGTATTTTCAATTATTAAAAGTCTCAATGTCATTACTTTGAACTGGCAGGTAGGAAAGTACTGTTTACTGCTGCAGGAGCTCCTTCTGCCACTGAGATACCTGCCCATTGGGGCGTGGTCTCTCTCCCTTTAAAAAAGCAGAGGCAGCCCTCCATTCTCTCTCTGGCTTCTGGCTCTGCTTCCGGCTCCTAGACTCCTTTCCTAATTGTGCAGAGGGGCTGTTGTCTGTTACAGTAATCTATTAGTTTTTTCCCCTTTGAATAAATAACCATTCTATTAATCATAATTCCAAATTGGTGTGGGATTGTTTGTGACTTACGCCTTCAGTTTACAAATTGCATTCCAATGTGTGGCCAAAATTTCCTCATAAAATCTGAAATAGCTTGGAAAAGGAATCTAAACAGAAAACTACATAATCAAATGCAGCTTCTCAGTAACTGCCTCTTTTTTTGGTGGGCTTGCTAGTGATCAGTGATCAGAGGCTTGCCTTCTTTAACAGATGGCTTTCTGAATAAGCATTTGCAGAAAAGTAGGCAGTTCTTTTCAGAGACCTTAAGTTTGCTGGTACTATCTTCTTTCTCTTGCTGACCTGAGAGCCTAGGTTTTGAACCTGTTGGCCAATCCCCCTGTATTTCTGCAGATCAAAGAATGTGCAGCCCTGACTTGATTCTCCAGGACAGACATGCTCAGGTGTCACAGTCATGTGTTTGTGGCTGCAGCCCACCTTTTGGTCTTTTGACATGACTGCATCTTGAATAGTTCTGGACAGCATTATTGGGAATTACCTTCAACACCTTCACAGAAATGTCCTTTCTTAGTCAGTACACTTATCTACTTTGCTACTGTGCACTATATCAAATAAAAATTTACCATAAAGTTCTGAGTTCAAAGATATGATTGCTGACTTCTACTGTGGAATTGTAATTTCCCCATTTTTGATTCTGTGTCCAATTTCTTGATAGTTCAGAATTTTGAGTTACTTAAATGCATGTTGATTGATTGTGGTCTACAAACAAAAGACAGGATAAGAGAAAATTTTAAACTGTGAATACAAAAGTGATGCTTTTACTGTCATTAGTAGGAGGTGCCACCAATAAATGAAAACATGACTGCTCTTTCTGGCCAACCAAAAACCACCCACAAATTGTAAAATGAACTCAAGTAAGGATACATCTGGTAAGGAGTTTTAAAGTTCCAATTTAAAATTGGAAGCAAAATGCCAATTGCTTTGGTTAAATATTCAAATATATTTTAAAGACTTTTATTATCAGCTTGTTTCCTAATTATTTTTTTGTACTTTTCCCTCATTTGGGAAAGATTTGGGCTCAGAAATTCTTTAAGAACTAAGTCTAAGTTAGTTTCCAATACTATCAGTCATTTATATAATTTGGGCCAAGGATGAGTTCAGATGAACTTAGATCAGCCTTTTATACCTTACTGTTATTAATGACATGTCCATGAAGCTGAAAAGAAGGCTCAGCACTTAGAACATTGGGGACTCATCCAGAGAACCTTTGAAACCCAGCACCCACAAGACAGTTCACAACTGTCTGTACCTCCAGTCAGAGGAGAGTAGACACTGTCTTCTGATCATACACTTGGTACGCTCACTGGTCAATTTAGATTCTATATCTAAATTGAATTTCATTTCTTTTAAAGGTAACAGACACATGAAGAAAATCTATTTAATACAGAATCAAATACAGATCTGTCCTTTAGTATTTGCACATCTTGTACCCTTTGAGGCCAGAAACATGCACCTGATCTTCAGGACCTCCAATTACAAGGAGTTCTGACCAATCAGATATGATGATATGAACCAAACTTGTCAACCCAAGAGGAGCAGTATGCCTGAGACAACTCTCCAGATCCAACATGTCATTATAACGCTAAAGGTATAGAAGTCTTCCTTCTCTTATTACTTGAAGGATAAATTCCACAATAGATGGTTGGCAAAGGATTCAGTGGATGAAATTGGTACATTGCTCATTTTCATTGTTAAGACAGCTCTATGTGAGGGAATATTTAAAATGTTGGTTAAAATCAGTCTGACTCCAACAGATTTTATTAGGAAAACTTCCATAATTTGGGATAGTCTTTGTCTTTTGTGATATTTTTGAGATAAGACATGTCCATGTAGCCACTGATGCCAGGTATGCATTATGTGGAACAAGCTGACCTCAAACTCACTGAGATCAGACCCACTCACACTCTGTGTTCTGTGATTATAGCCCTGCACCTCTAAGCTGAGCTGAAATCTGTGTTTTTAAAGGACTTATTGAGTCATAAAAGCATAATGAAAGACTTAGAAGGGAACATCATTATTTTGATGAATAACACTATTTCTTGAAATTCTGTAATTTAAATGGTCAAATAATTTCATATGTTCACAATAATGGGTTATTTATATTGCATTGGCAACTCCATCCATTTAAAAATGTTTGATGTGTTTTTGTAAATACACATGACCCATGTTGTTCATTTAGCACAGACAGGAAAATTCAGTTATCTATGATCTACTTCACTTTGTGAGTTTTAGTGCTTAAACCTAAACAGTCATTTGGCTGCAAATAAGCTCAAAGACACTTCTTTGAGTTTAAAAATTATTTGTGAATGAGCTTATGTAGGATGTGTATAAGTAATTGCTGAAGTGAACAAATACGAAAAAAATTGTAAGAGTATTAATTAGGAGAAACAAGATATAGAAGTCAGGTTATCATAATTTGCAGGGATGAACTTTACTAAATGATACAATTCTCTGGCATGTACTTTGGTTCTAAGTTTTACAAACACATCTTTTTCTCGGCCTGAAAAAATTTTAAAAAATCTGTTTCTGAGACTATTTTCACATGCAAAGAGGATTGACTATCCAAATTGTCTCATTTTTTTTATTCTTGAATGGAAATGCATTTCCAATTTGAAAAGAAAAAAGGGCTTTACTGTTGTAATAGTTCTTCTAATTGAATTTGAGCAAAAATGAGATGACTCAGTGGGAAAGGACTGTTATGTGCAAGACTAGAATCCTAACCTGGATTACATCTCAAATTTTGCAGCAAAATGGATGGAGCTAGAAAACATCATTTTGAGTTAGGTAACCCAGACTCAGAAAGACAATTATCACATGTACTCAGTCCTAAGTGGGTTTTAATCATAAAGCAAATAAAACCAGCTGACAAATCACAATCCCAGAGAACTTGGACAACAGTGAGGACACTAAAAAGATACACATACACGGAAAGTATAAAAAGACAAGATCACCTGAGTAAATTGGGAGCAAGGGGACCTTGGGGGATGGTTGAAGGGGAGGGGCAATGCAGGGAGGGGATCAGAGAAAAATATAGAGCTCAATAAAGATTGATAAAAACACTAAAAAAGAACATCAAATTATAGAGTCAGATACACAGCTGATTGCTGATTATACTACTTTATTACATCTACAAAAGATAAATGAAAATACTTCATTGAATACACACAAGGTATTTAATGTTTCTTAAATTTCCTTTATCAGTCACGTTGACATAAATATTGTTAAATGCTGTTGAAAAAACCATACACATTTAGAGTTCATCATCTACCCTTGGACTTGTATTCAGGAGGCAGACACATGAGCATCATGAGTTCAAACTTATCCCCGAATCTTTACTGATATTCCCAGCTAGGATTAATAACAAGCAATAAATTCTACAGTGAATTTTTTTCCGATTATCGATTGATAGCGATTCAGTATTGATTGCTGATCGATCGATTGCTAGCAGCGTCAAAGGGACTCGAACTCGTGTCCTCTGGCACTAGAGCAGAGTGTTAGGTGCTCCTAGCCGTCGAGCCACAGCTCAAGCTGCTTCCAGTGAATTTTTGAAAAGATAAAAATTAAAACCAGAAACAACAACCAACCACATTTTCTTAAGGAGAGATATAAGGACTACAAAATAAAATTCACTAAATGGATTTGCCACATAAAGCACACTTTTGTACCTGCCTCAAATATTTCAAAATTGAAAACAAAATGCAATGATTTCCACCAGTCTTGAGTGAACATGGTATGTAATTTACTTCCTTCAAGAGTGTAAAGTAATTTCACTTAAAGCTAAAGAAAACTGTGATGTCTAGACATTAACCAATTGTTTTCATTAATAGAAACTTTTTTTTATGAGTTTGTTCTTATTTCCAGACTTCAAACTGATATAAATAGACTTAAAATATTTTAAGGCACTAGAGTCATAGCTAGATGAGTTGAAAATGTTCATTCACAGGATTAAGGTCAGATGTCTGACAACTTCCTGTAAGTTCTTCTGCAAGAAGATCCAAGGTATTTACTTTCTGGGGATACAGAATGCACATTCAAATACACACAGAGACAAACACATACATGACACAATTACAGATAAAACAACTTTTAAGACAATCATATTTTCCTTCATGAACATTTTTCTCCTGTAAACATTCATTCCTGTAAAAAAGGAGTGGAGAGGCGTCTTACTGCCTATTCATCCTATGGACTGGTTTGTAAAGGAAAAGCAAAGTTAGACTTGAAGAAAGAAATCAATTGTTCTAATAAAGTTTAGCTGTAGAAATCTTTGGGAATATTCCATAAGATGTTTATTGCTTCTGTGCTCCTATGGGCAAAGCAGTTTTTCAAACAGAGGTATCAAATGGATCTTGGCTCAATTCCAGGAATTTCTAAACCATTCCAGTGAAAGAAGTAGTCACATAATTCTCCAATCAGAAGATTTATTTGACAGGGAAGAATACATAAGTATGAACACCTTAGCCAGTGTGGAAAGGGGCAGTTGCATACTGAATGAGCATAGGGCTCATATAGGGCTTCTTAGTACCAGAGGGCACCAAAGGAGATTGTGAAGGTGGGAATTTGCTGGATTTCAATCCCTCATCTAGAAAAAGCTCAGAGATAGGCTTGATTTTATGTTGAGGGATTGCCTGATTTGGTGCCAAGTTGGACAAGCAGAGTTTGTTTTTATGGTTCTGGTTTGAGAGCCAAAGTGTGTTTCTTTCGCTGGCCCTTTTTAATGTTTAGGCTGTTTTCAGGGAGATGTTGTTTCTTTACCTAGTTCTAGATTCAGAGACAAAATGCTTTCCTTTGGCGCTGGTCTCAGGACCAATGTGTGTTTTTTTGAATACCCTTTCTCCAAACCATGATACTTCATAAAAGATTTTGTCCATTAGTTTGCTGGTTCAAACTAAAATAAACAGAGGTATGGTGCTGGAACAGATTGTTGACATTATCAATTATTTTTCTACACAATAACTTCAGTTGGTTAATTGACTACAATTGGCTCAACATCTTAAAAAAATTTACAATAAGCCCTCAGTTTCTACCTCAGGTCAAAAAGATTATGGCAATATGCACAAGCTTTATCAGATTGATTACACACAAAGAATCTTACTATTATATAAAGCACAAAACATTATGACACTGAATTCATTTATATAGTTTACCTACAGTATAATTTTTCTCATTTTTTAAAGAATAGACACATTAAATTCAGAGTTTCTCTACAGGATGGCCTAGTTTACATATTTGGAAATGATTGTGAAATGTGATTTACCACATATTCCATTCCCAGATATCTCTCCAGCATGTGTTCTTTTATGCCCTTGAAGAGTACAGGGCTCTGCAAAGGTCTTACCACAATGATTTCATTCATAGGGTTGTTTTCTAGCATGCATTCTTTTATGAACGTGAAGATAATTTTTATATGCAAAGGACTTACCACACTGATCACATTCATAAGGTTTCTCTCCAGTATGTGTTCTTTTATGAGTTTTAAGACCACTGTGTTGTGTAAAAGCCTTACCACACTGATTACATTCATAGGGTTTCTCTCCAGTATGTGTTCTTTTATGAGTTTTAAGACCACTGTGTTGTGCAAAGGCCTTCCCACACTGATTACATTCATAGGGTTTCTCTCCAGTATGCGTTCTCTTATGCGTTTGAAGAATACTGTGTCTAGCAAAGGCCTTACCACACTGATTACATTTATAGGGCTTCTCTCCAGTATGTGTTCTTTTATGCTCTTGAAGAATACTGTGTCTAGCAAAGGCCTTACCACACTGATTACATTTATAGGGCTTCTCTCCAGTATGTGTTCTTTTATGCATTTGAAGAGTACTATAACGTGCAAAAGCTTTACCACACTGATTACACTCATAGGGCTTCACTCCAGTATGTGTTCTTTGATGCAATTGATGAAGACTGTACTGTGTAAAGGCCTTTCCACACTGATTACACTCATAGGGCTTCTCCCCAGTATGTGTTCTTTTATGCAGTTTTAAGGTATGCTGAAATGCAAAGGCCTTACCACACTGATTACATTCATAAGGTTTCTCTCCAGTATGTGTTCTTTTATGCAATCGAAGAACACGATGACTTGAAAAAGCCTTATCACACTGATTACATTCATAGGGTTTCTCTCCAGAATGTGTTCTTTTATGCATTTGAAGATAAGCACGTTGAGCAAAGGCCTTACCACACTGATCACATTCATAGGGTTTCTCTCCAGTATGTGTTCTTTTATGGCTTTGAAGATTACTATGAAATGCAAAGGCCTTACCACACTGATTACATTCATAGGGTTTTTCTCCAGTATGTGTTCTTTGATGGCTTTGAAGACTACTCCGAAATGCAAAGGCCTTACCACACTGATTACATTCATAGGGTTTTTCTCCAGTGTGCAGTCTTTTATGATTTTGAAGCCCACAACTTTTAGCAAAGGTTTTACCACACTGATTACATTCATAGGGTTTCTCCCCGGTATGTGTTCTTTTATGTGTTTGAAGAACAGTGTATCTAGCAAAGGCCTTACCACACTGATTGCATTCATAAGGTTTTTCTCCAGTATGTATCCTTATATGCAATCGAAGATGACCATGACGTGCAAAGGCCATACCACACTGATTACATTTATAAGGTTTTTCTCCAGTATGTGTTCTTTCATGCATTTGAAGAACACTGCGATCAGCAAAGGCTTTACCACACTGATTACAATCATAGGGCTTCTCTCCAGTATGTGTTCTTTTATGTATTTGAAGAACAGTGCGTCTAGCAAAGGTCTTAGCACACTGATTGCATTTGTAGGGTTTTTTTCCAGTATGTGTTCCTTTATGCATTTGAAGTGTATTGTGATGAGCAAAGGCCTTACCACACTGATTGCATTCATAGGGCTTCTCTCCAGTATGTGTGCTTTTATGACTTTGAAGCTGACTGTGCTGGGCAAAGGTCTTACCACACTGATTACATTCATAGGATTTCTCTCCAGTATGTGTTCTTTTATGCCTTTGAAGATTACACTGAGCAGCAAAGAACTTACCACACTGATTACATTCATAGGGTTTCTCTCCAGTATGTGTTCTTTTATGGCTTTGAAAATTACTATGAAATGCAAAGGCCTTACCACACATATTGTGTGCATATGGTTTCTCTCCAATATGTGATCTTTTATGACTTTGTTGTATTTCACAAAGAACAAAGTCTTTACCATCTTGACTATTTTCATAGGGTTTCTCTCCAATGTGTGTCCTTTTAAGCATCTGATGATGACAGTTATAAGCAAAGGCTTTACCACATTGCTTAATTTCACAGCATTTATCTCTGGTATGTAATTTTTCATTTCTTAGAAGGTGAGTTTTATAAGACAAGGCTTTAGCACCATGAGAATATACTGAAAACTTCTCTCCAGTTTGATTTCTTTCAGTCCTACAAGAATAATTGACACATGTAAAAGCTTTACCACATTCAATGCACTGTTGAATATCATATCCGTATGAATTAATTTCATAATTTGTTTAAATTATAAAAAGAAATTGAAAATTGAAGTTTTATAACATTTTTAAAAATCATGTTTTGTTTTCTCAGGGGTTATTTTGCATCTGGAAAAATACTTGTGACAATAAATTCCTTTGTATCATAGTTTACCTTTTCATCTATAGCTATATTCTTTCTAAGAGTTTTTTTTTACATTTTTGAAGAGAACTGCATACACTGAATGTTTACTAACATTATAGCATTCATAAATTTTTCTATATCGTCAATCATTATACATTTGCTAAATGAAGTAAGACAACTGGAAGTATTTGTACAGACCTAAAGAAAAAACTAATGCTTTTTTGGAATTTGAGTTTGTTTATGTAATAACAATGATGGTAGAAAATGAATTAACTTTGTATTCTTGGATCAAATTCAACAAGTATACTCTACATAGGAACTACATTTTATCTTCTTAATTGTTCTTAAAGAGAGGTATGCTAATTTCCATAGCCCTATGCTCATAAACTTGTGTTAAGAGTGACATATATATATATGTATATATATATATATATGAAAAATAGTGAATAAAGGATTTCCACATCGAATCCTCAAGGTTTGACTTTCTGTTCCTCACAGACTTGTGGTATAGATATTATGGTTTCTCCAGAACATCTGCTACTTGACCCTTAACTCTAACAGCTGCTTTCACTAAACTTAGCATAGTCACAAAAAGTATATAAGTAATCCAAGACTTGCTATGGGCTACTGATTTAATAGAAAGTTTGCAACTATACTCATCATTACTGAAATGTGTATACATGTTTTTGGTCATGAGTAGCAAAAAACAAATGGACTGGCAGATCTACTACATAGCTCTTATTGTGCTATGACTGAAATGGTGATATCTGTTTGGGAATTCCTTCCTTGACTTTTTTGTAAATGAATGCCTGAGGTATATGGATTTGTGAGAATTCAATAAGCATCAATGCATTTAAAGCTGTGCTTATTTACATTATTGTTTTTTGTTTAAAAATTCTAGGACATATTATAAACTCATCAGAGGCACATTGTTAAGAATTTGTACAAGAAAATTACCTTGCATGTCTTCTAGAACATTGGTAATGTTCTTCAGTGTTATGATCTTCCCAAATGTAGCCTAAAATACAGTACCAAAATTTGTATATTATTTAACATTTTACAATAATTAGCTTATTATCTTAAGTGCACCTAGGAACTATGACTGCTATTCACCTCGTTCTACTTCTTTCTTAATCAAATTACAGAACAACATCATAAACCAAGGAAAAGTTGTCTCCATATTTTTAAACATGATGGAAATTCATTTTTACCTATAGTAGTTAGGTTCCTGTAGGTCTCGAGCATCACATCTTTGTACAGATTCTTCTGGGAAGGATTCAGTAAATCCCACTCTTCCTTAGTGAAGTTGATATGCACATCATCATAGGTCACTGCCTTCAAAAATATACCATAAATGTGTACAACGTAAGCATGACAGTGACATCATTGGAAACGCATACTTCTTTGAAAGTATTGTTGTATGATTTTGCTGTTACCCATTCTTATTCCATTACATCGACAGTCACTTTAGAAGAAAATGGAAAAGGAGAGTCAGTTCTATCATTTCACTACACTTTTAATGGGATTTCACCTTAGAAGTACAATATCTATTAACGGGGAAAGAAAACTAAATATCAAAAGTACATCAGATGCATGAGAAAATTGTATGAATAATTACTGACTACAGAAAGGAAAAAAATATGTACAAACTAGGTTTATTGATGTGTTGTGCCTTTAACCACAATATTCAGAAAACAAGTGGGTATATTTGTCTCTGAGTTGAATGCCAGTCAAGTCTATGCAATCAAGTCCAGGAGAGGTAGAAGTATACATTAAGACCCTGTCTCCATTGCAAATCTCAATGAAACAAACAATGGAATAGAATAACTGAAAGGCTTTTATTGAAGTTCCTACAAATGGTTGTTCTCACTCCAGGTCTGTACTCATCTTCCAGACCCCTCAAGTCCCCTAATATAAACTGCAATACCAAAAACATTTTATAGAAAAGCACTGCATGTATAAAATAGTTATAAGAGGACAGATGAAAACAATAGAAGTATATGTTATAAATACAAGGCATCCTGGGAATCAGAGTGATATTCTCTGTCAAATTTTAAAATTCAAGATAAGCATGAAGCTCAGAACAGAAGCTTAAAAAGCCTACATTCCAGTGCCATCGGCCATTAACATAAAAACAATTAGAGCCAGGAATGATGCCTCCCTTTACTTTCAGGAGTTTAGAGCCACACAGTTACTCATATAAGCAAATAAAACAATTAAAACAGCAGGTTACCAAACTCCTTAGCACTGAATAACATCTGTTTCTACTATATCTTATGTGATTTAAAGGTCGATCCTATAATGATGGTAAAAACATTTCAGTATAAGTAGGAAGTTGGCTGATTAATGTCAAAAACAACAAGGTAGATATAAATGTCAGGAAATTACTTGAGGGTATTGAGACTCATAACATAAAATGAGGAATTTCATCTAGAAAGGCTCCTACTAAAGATCCACAGAAAATTGAAAGAAAACCACTAAGGACAAAAACTTGTTCAAATACATGATATTTTCTGGGAGGTTGTTCATTCAGTCAAGTACATTGTGAACCCAGTCACTACTGGCTCATGGTCCACAATGGAAAAAATGTATTTAGTCACTTCACTGATTCACGTTTAATGATGCTTGAATAAGGATGCTTAAAAGAAATCCAACACTAGCTCAGAATTGAAAAATAGATGTTTATTTATTTAAGCGTAGACTCACAAATCAGAATCCTATGCTTGAATGGTGTTCAGAATCTGAATTATACAGCCAGAATAGAGGCCTGACTCATGTTCTACCTTGGCATATATAGTATAAGATGCCATGCCCCAATGGAGGGGAAACCACTGGCTGTAAGACTTTCTACAGCATCTCCCCATTTTGTATATACAATAAGAACAATATACTCAATAATTATCCTATCCTAACAAATTTAAATCTTGTATAATGAATAGTTTTGACAAGTGATGAGAGGAAAGTAACTACAACTATCTAGTCTTCAACCAAGAAGGGACATATTACTTGAGTAAGCAGGAAGGGCAATCAAGCAATTTTCAAAATACACAAAAAATTACAGAGACATCTGGCTACGTGGGCAATCATGCAAAGTCTCATTTGCAATGTTGAAGCAACCAACTTTCAATAAGACTTAGAATAAATGAAAGGCCATTTTCTGAGGTATGGAATTTTTCAAAAAAATCTTACCCTTTCATGGCAATATTTAACAGACCTGCTTATCCACTTTAGATACCATGAATCTTGTCAGTGGTTGAGGCATGAACATGTCTTTGCATGAAGGACAGTTCTGGCAAGAGGAAAACAAGCTCCAAGTCGAGTGTCTTCAGTGCTCAACATTCTCTGGGGTCTCACTTCAACAAAACCCTAAGTTATTTAAATGCTATATTCTACAGCTCTTTGAAGTGGTTGAAGATTACCTACCTATGCAGAATATAATCTCTGTTTATCTAAAGAACCTGCTTATTCTAACTATAAGTATGACAAACATAGATGACTATTGATCTATAATTCTTAATACCTATATAATTTAGACTAAGACTTCATATTAGAATATTATACAATAAACAATTATGCAACAAATGAGGACAATGACCTCAAAATGTAAACAATGTATAGGTATCTTGATCAGTGATAGAAATGTACATTGAAATATGATAAAAATATATAAAAATGTTTTAAGCAGAGGGAGAAGCATGAATGCATACAATATTCAATATCATTTAACATTATATCAATATACAATCTATACCAATACAATTGCCCATAAATTATAACTCACAAGCATTCACTCTATTACTCACTATTATTACTATTGTGTGTTAGCTCACACTAATCTATTATCCCATCCAATTTTTACATTTTTTCCAAAGAGATCCCTGAGCCTATAAAATTTCCCCTCTAACCTACAACAGTATACCAATTATAATCAACCCCTAAATGATGTCCCTAACCCTGAGGACAAGCTTTGCTAGGAGAGGGAATGTAGTCTTTTAGAATTACTTCCAGTTGTCAGGGGAGCAACGTTTTTTTCTATGGGATCCTGTGAAAGAAAATGATGGTTAAGTTTCCACATTACTGTCTGGTATAATTACAAATAGTCTCAGTATTTGGTAAGGTTTTTGTGAACTTCCTATTAAAAGTTCTGTATAGAACATTGTAAAAAAGGGCACCATTTCAGCTAACCAAGTTGGAACCATCTTGAGGAGCTGGTATTCAAAACAGGTCTTGTGCTATCATCATCATAATATAATATCAACCAGGTTGAGATGTTGTTGTGGGGACCCATCTTCTTCCCAGATACTTCAAAAACTACTGCAGGAAAATTCATTGTTCATTGTGGAAAACTTAAACATTATTTATATAGACATATACAGATATATATATCCAATGACATGTACAATAGAGACAAAAATAGATATGAAGAAAAGTAAAATTTTTCTAAATTCTTTTTACTTCCTGTCCTGACATGAGACAGAAACTGAATTTTTATTTTATCAACATATGTGGATTTATAGAGGGACAAAGCCAGTGCCCAACACCAAAGCCAGTTCTATAGATTCATAAATATACATCCACCTACAAAAGGCACCCAATAATGATAGGATAAAAGTGTAGATTATTGAATCTGCTCTAAAAAGAATAAAGGGGCACATATATGTATAATGAGATAAAAGTGTAGATCATTAAAATTAATTTTAAAAAGTAACTACTTATATACTTCACATTGAAATATATATGGATGCTTACTATTGATACTAATTCAACATTATTTTGTTAAAACATACTATCTATGATTTTAAATTCTCACTCAAGATATTCTATCTAATAATACTCACTTAAACATGTAATGAAAATATCTAGTCCTTGAAAGTTATTATTATAAAATAATTAGGATATAAAATACTGCATGTTAGTAGTTTTTTACATATTACAATTGAAACTATACTCGACTTAGATATGTTTTCATCATTATACAGAATTTTATTATCAGATTCAAATGTACATACTTTAGAGAAAATGTTTGCTGAAGTGAAGCAAACTTTGTCTCATTGGGGATTACAAATTACTTCTGAAAATATACAAAATATACAAAATGGAGATTTATTAATTATTCAGCATATAAAATACTTGTATAAAAATTTGAGCCCAAAAGTAAGAAATTAGGAGAGATCATTTGTGGAATCTTAATGATTTTCAATTGTTGCAAGACATTGACCATCTATATCCCACTATTGGAGTAAAAAATTGAAAAGAATAATTTGGACCAGACCATAAAAGGTAACACGGATTAAATAGCCAAAGAGAATTATCATCAAAAACAAAGAAAAAATTGTTTGGGTGGAAATTGGTTGAGTGGAAATAAAATTATAGGATGCACATATGGATTGTTTGGATCTGAAGCTTGGAAAATTGTCTTGAAAAATTCAAGACTTTTTGGCACAGGATTTCTCTGTATCTTTGAAATATGTACTGGAACTAGCTCTTGTGGACTAGGCTGGCCTCGAAATCCATCTACCTCTGCCTCCCAAGTACTGGGATTAAAGGAATGAGCCACCACTTCATGGCCTTCATTCTGAACATTTTATCCTCTATGCATTCCCCATAAAAATTTTACTGCAGAGGAAAGATATCTTAAAATCATTTTTTTGTTATAGAAACAGACTAAAAATCTATAAACTTATGTAGAAAAAAAATCTGAGTTGATTTTAAAATGAAAATTGGAACTTCATCAATTAGCAAGAATTTACCAAGGTTAAATTGTAGCATGTTTTACTAATGTTGAAATTTAATCATTGTGGACAGGAAGTGAATATTGGCAAAGATCTTGCAGTAATTTCTTGGGAGAGATTAACAACAAATATTTCTTTTACCATAATATTAGTGATCATACAGAGAAGTAACTAATTCTAGGAAAAGGTTTCATTAGCTTCTTGTATTTAATTTTGGGTTTGAGTCTCTATCAGGAATCTAGGCATTAAGTTATGAATTCTGAATTTACATAATACTCATCCTTTATCTTCTTATAGATCTTGTGCATATGAGATTTAAAATGCTTAAGTTTTCTGCAATAAAGTATGAGCATGCTTTACAGTGATCTTTGAAGTCACCAAAAGAAGTGTGAATCACACAAGGAAGGTTTTAACCGCACTATGTTAATGCTTCACCATCTAAACATCGGGTTTGAACTACAAACTGCTCGGGACAATATCAAAGTGGTACACTGAGATGATTGTGACTCCTGAGAACATATGTTTTAATTAAGTAAAAAGTTCATTTTGGAGGTTTGAGAAAGGGATAATGGGCAAAAAAAACCAGACAGGTTGACCAATGGA